AGTGAGTTGAGAAATAAAGTTTTTAAATAAATTTTCGTATTTACATATGTTAATTTGCTTCTTTGCTTATTTAGCGCAGCCATGGCAGAAAAAATCAAGTGGACTCAAGCGGAGATTGAAAATCTAATAAATTTGGTGCAGCAGTATGAGTGCATCTATAATGTAAAGTGTGCAGGTTATTTAGACCGCAACGCCAAAGCCCAAGCGTTTAATAAAATCTGCGAAGATTTGGAAATGCCGTTATTAGACGTAATAGAAGTGAAGAAAAAGTGGAAAAATTTGAGGACACAGTTTTTGAGAGAGATGCGAGAGTTGCGGGCTTCTAAAAAAAGTGGTTCAGGACTCTGCGATGTGTACACACAAAAATTGTGGTGTTATACACAATTACAATTCCTTGAAGCCCACACACAAATAAGGAGCGGACAGAGTAATTATGAGGTAATATTTTAATTTTGTTTCTCATGTTTATTAAAAAATACATGTTTTACTTCTAAGGATGTAACCCCCCCGCCCGAAAGCCCAGGAGGCACCTCGTCTGGTGTCTCAAATTTTTCCCAGTTCAGCCCAGGAGCCCCATCGAGTATTTCTCATTCTTCCCCACTAAGCCCACAAACGACTTTAAGTGATTTTATTGATATAGTAAGTAAATAAAGCATACGTAACAAAAAAAAAGTTATATACAATTTAATTTCTTCTTTGTTTATAGAGCACTGAAGCGAGTAGCAGTGGCGCTAGCGAGCCACAGAAGAAACGGGCAAAGGTGTGGATAATCTCCAGTTAATTTTATTGCTGTTTAAAGTTTAAATACTTTAGACGCTGTTGCATATTTTGAGATACTAATATGTTATTTTTTTAAGGACGGTGCACTGTACAGGTTACGGAAGGATTTGGCCTCATTCAAAGATAGAATCTGCGAAAAGCGCACGAAGCCATTTTCTTGGCTGGGGAACTTGGTAGCAACCCAAATGGAGGAAATAATTCCCGAACAGCAAGACGACGCTGCGTGGGAGGTTCAATGCCTTATGCGAAGATTGGTGCAAAAATCTAAGAACGCCCCATCTTCGCAACCTGTTTCGTGTGACCTGCTTCAAGATGCAATGAGTGGAGTCTTTGATGAAACTGATTTTGAATGACTGTAAGTAATATGGATGTCCGTTCTATAAAAGCAAATCAAAAACGTTTATTTTTTATTTTTATTTTTACAGCTCCTTATAAAAATTAGTGCTGTGAAATGGAAGAAGTACCTGGAATGTGTATTTTTAACCGACTTCCAAAAAAGGAGGAGGTTATCAGTTCGTCGGAATTTTTTTTATTTTTTATTTTTTTTATATTTATTTTATATTTTTTTTATGTATGTTACCGCATAACTTTGGACCCGTTAACCGATTTTTTATCGGAAAGGTGGCATCTCAGAGGTGGTCCCATTCTAATTTGGTTAGGATCCGAACTTGGATCATGAAGAAATTAACAATAATCCAAATTTTTTATTTATATGAGAATTGAAGTCGGTTATGTTTTTTGCTTAAAAATTACTTGTTATTTTATTTATTTCTTTTTAATGTACAAAGTTTGTGATGAAT